TCTGAATTTAGACTGTTTGTTGTGTTTGATGAATAAGTAGGTTATTTACATCCTTTTTTTATTTTTTTTTATTGTTGTTCTCTGCAGCTTTGCCGACAGATGAAGGCCCTCCTCTGCCATGTATGAAGATGCGTGTCACAGTGTGCTGCGAGACCAGTGAGTATACTCATCCTTTTATCTGTTACTCCTTTCATGCTTCACTCTTTGTACACCAACAGACTCCTCTTTCTGCCTCTCACGTCTTTACTATCAAGGCTTGGAGTATAGAATGGTGTTCAGATTGCCACTCACTACAGCGCTTTTAGTTACTTTCTATCTTTAACTTTGTAGTACTCATTTATATACATATAAACTATAAAGTTAACTCTCTGCAATGAATGACAAACATAGTGTTTGAATGTGTACCAGCTTACAATTTTATTTCTTTTTTTTTTTTTTTATTACTTTGAAATTTTCCATTCCATCTTTACACCTTAAAGCCCTCTATCCATGAATGAAGCACCAATTCTTGTGAAAAACTGGTCAGCTTGCTGAAAAAAAGGCTATTACTGCTTTCCTTCAATTACAACAAAGATAAATATGAAAATATGACACAAACAACAATGATGTGGAATCTAAAGTGTTACCTAAGATAGTCTGACTGGCCAACAAGCTAATATAAGCTCTTTGGTCTAATTGTTATGCATAAAAATGCTATGTATGTCATTTATAATAATGTCTGCATGTTAAATTAGTATTTTTTTCAACTGGTTGATCTGGAAAAACAGTTATTAATTAATTCACTCCTGTTACTCTATGAAAAGCAGAATGACAGAGATAATGTTGTTTGCCATAATGAACTTTTCTTTAGTAATACTTCTCTTTTTAAGTTATTCTAGTTTGTGTCAAAATAACAATTCCAATAAATTACATCATAGAAACTATAGAAGAATATGCTTATTTTCAAAGAAATTGAAAGCCCTGTTTTTTTTTTTTTTCTTTTTTAGTTAAAACCAAATTATTATTAGTTCAAATGTTTTGTGTGAATAATATGAAACCATCATAGCAGTTTGTGCCTAGCTTGCTTTTAGAACTGATTAGATTAAGGGATTTTCTTTTTAGCATTACTTTCCTCTAAAGCACATCTTACCCCACCAGTCCTCCTTTTTTATGCCTACTTGTCATCCTCATTCACCCACTCCCCATCTTTCTTTCTCAGTGTGAAATTCCCAGAGTTGATCTAATCCAGAGCCCGCCTGGAGTAATGTTAGTCTTCCAGTCCAGTGAGCTGCCCATTCCGGTTGGGAATGTTGCCCAGTCACTGTGGGAATCCCTGTCCGGTGCTTCGTGTGTGTGTGTTGACCATTTTTCTTTCTGTTGCTGTTGTTGTACTTTGTGCACGAGTCCATGAGCCTTTGCGTGCAAGCTCTGGCAGTTGGACTCGTATACGGGTGTGTATGTAGCATCGCTTGCATGTCTGAGACGTCTGTCCCAGTTCCCATCCCAGTGTTATCTGCAGGGGGGCTTGTTGTGCTGTCCCAGACTGAACTAACACACTTTTTTTATGTCTCTTTGGTGAAACTGTCTAGAAAGTTGTGTGACAAATACTTATTCAGTTTAAGCAAATATAAAAAAAAAAATACAACTGCAAAAGTAGAAATTTCACTTTATCTCAAATATCGGTGAACCGATGCATCTTACCTAAAAGATGGGATGAAACGCTACCTTGGTTCAATCAGGACAAGATGACATTTTTGCAGTATTTTATGTTTCCAAATAGAACAGATATTTAAGTTTTCATTCTATAAAGAAGGCAGGTAAGAAAATATGTACTATTCATTAATCTCTCATAATAATTGTCTTTTTAGTCACATAGTCTAAAAGAAGAAGGTGGCAAAAGGTGCATGGGGTATATACAGTATATATACAGCATTTTTCCAAAAATGGAACTGAAAGGCTTTTTCTTTCTTTTTTTTTTTTTGTTATGTAAAGGGTTAACAGGCATTGTGAATATTTCAGTTGGGATGACCGATGCTAACTTTAACTGTTATTAGTAAAAGTTAAGTAAGTTCTTTCCCTTGATGAAAGGATGTTATATCAAGCTTACAAGACAATAAAAAAAAAAGCTTTAGCTATGATTTTACTTTCAGAAATATTTATATCTAAACTGAGTGGTATATCCAGCTAATGAGAACCACACATATAGTTTTGGATAGACAATTAAAGGTTTTTTCAAATCGCAAACTGTTTTATAGAGTTTAATCGGCGTATAATACTCTTGGCTAGATTTGACTAATCCAAGTTGCTTTGTACCAATTTGTACTTTTCTAATTCTCAAATTATCGTTATGCCAAAAAAGCTTAGGAAATGGAAAATTCTTGCTTTAGAAAATTTTCTGGCATTTCTAATCAGCTTAGAATGATCAAACACAAGTTTTATCATCCTAAATCAGTTGTTTAAATGATGGGCAGACATTTGAAGTACTTTCAATGTTTGCTGCGTTTTATTGTTGCCAGATTTCTGCAAGATAAATCATTTCATTTTGGAGTGGTCCTTATTACTTTTTTAACCAGGTGTCATTAACCAGAAGCCAACTTTTGCATCATTAGCAACTGTTAGCAACTCTGCGAATTCTTACAATGTGTTTGTATGTTATGTCACATGGTCACATTTTCTTTTTTAATCCAAAAGTCTACCAGATAAACAATGTCAGTGTGGTGAAGGCCTCTGAATTTCTTTCAGCAAAGAATTCTCAGCCTGTAAGACTGCATCTATATTACCTATCAGCGCAAACGTTCAAGAGCTGCTTTCATTCTAGGTCAAATCCAGTTTTTAAATTAGGTGCGAAAGTTTAAAAAAATTGACATTAAAGGCCATAATTTTTTTATAATTTAAAAGCTTTACCATAATCATTTAGTTTAAAGAGAAAGTAAACCTCTAAACCAGATGGTCAACAAAGCAGTGTTAAAGTAAGGAGAGTTAGTGCTATATATAAAAACAAATTATCAGAAATCACATTGTACAAAGTACATTGTGTCAGCAACACAGGTAATTGCATAATCAATCAAAATGAACAATTAAAGAGAATAAAAATGAATAATTCAAATGATTTTGAAAAATGAACAATAAAACCACTGATAAAAAAATGACAGAAAGCTGTTTTACAAGCTTAAACTAATAATGTTCAGATGGGACAGTCAAAAGCCACTCTGAGGTAATATGATATTAAGAGGTTTCACAGTTTTCTGAGTTTTTTTTTTTTTTTTTTTCGAAATTAGTGGAACATAAGGATTAAAAGCTGCTTTTTCATGTTGGTTCTGGGTTTGCTGAGTAAATCTGAGTAAAAGCATCTGACAGGTCTGGTGATTGATATACTGACAAGAATGTAATGTATTTTGGTGCTAAGTCATTTTGTGATTTACAGACTAACACAAGTATTTTTAAGCCTATCATCTGACATATGATATAACATTGTTAGATCTGGGGTGGTGTGCTCCAGTTTCTTAGCTCTAGTGAAGACGCAGGCAGCAGCATTCTGGATCAGCTGCAGATTGTCCGATCGACCTGTCCGATCATTTCTACTAAAGATAATCACATGAATCACTTTTTCAAGGCCCTGCTGAGATATTAGTCCTTTAATTTGGAGATGTTCTTTAGGTAATAGATGGCTGACTTTGTTATTGATTTAATGTGTCGCTAGAGGTTCAGGTCCATCAACACACCCAGAGTTGAGTCTGATTAGTGGTGTCCAGCTGTTATAACCAAAGCTGTGTGCTAACTTTTGAATGCTCTTCTTTTGGCCAAAAGGCAATTACTTCAGTTTTGTCTTGATTCAGCACGTGTGCAGTGTGTTTATTCCTCCTCTGTGCAAGGTAATGTATAGCTTTGTGTCATCTGAATTGCCTTAGTAACTCATGTTGTTTTTTTATGATCTGGGTTAGGAGCAGCATGTAGATATTGAATAGTAGGAACTAATGGTTGACCTGTTGTAATATTTTTACGCCGTTAATATTGGAAATATACATTATTTTTCTCCCTCAGTCACCATTTCTTTTTATATTAAGTACCTATAGTGCTTTCGTTGATGATTTCAAGATGATGAAGGGGCAGATAAAGGAGAAGCAGTACAGCAGGGGCCTCATTTACCGAGGCAGTTCGTCTTCAACCATCCCGGGGTAAATTCCCAGCCTTTGTGAGCATTTCTGCTTGTATTCCAAACCTCCATCTCTTCTTTTTTTTTTTTTTTTTACCTGGATAAATAAAGGCAAGTAGTGGTGAAAAATATTTACAAAGAACAAGGGCCATTTTAACAGTGTTGTCAGGGAATCCAACAATTCATTTTGCATTGTGGGTTGCTAGTTAGTCTTAAGTTATTGTGTATTACCCTTTCTGTCACTTTACTCACCATGCCGATTACTGCTGAGGACCCAGATGGTGATTTAATATTGGTGCAAGTTTTTTTTTTTTTTTTTCTGTTTTCATAATCATGTGTTATAGGCAAGCCTGGCAACTTCTGTCAAAGCTGACTTTATCAACACAACAGGGCAGCAACTCCAGAACTACTTTATTTAAAGGGCAGATTATACTTCTGCAACCGCACACCTCATTTGTCGCTTGGGTCTGGTCGCGAACCAGTTTTGCTGGTATGCTTCTGCACTGTCGGTGTGGAATTTCTGAGGAAGCACAGCAGTTTCCTGCCAAAGTTTCCCTATTCGAGAACTCCTGAGAACTTCGGCGGATGGTCACGAGAACTTCGGCAGCGCCAATGGAGCGTCTGCAAGATATCATGGTAACGGAGCTGGATCTAGAGTTGTTAGAAATTGAAGAGAAACAGGTTCTGTTAATGGATTTGGCAAAAAGACAAAGGAGGACGCGTAGGTTGTCCACTGTAGTTGTTCTTCGGTTTTAAAAAATGGTGCGCCCCGGCACCGAATCAAGAAGGACGACTACACAGACAGCCGGAAAGGCATACCAAGGACCAATCACAGCAGCTTACTGTCAGCGCACTTCCGCTTGAGGTCGGCGTGGGTTTGCGATGCGTAGTCAGGATTATTTGAGGTGTCTGACAGTAGTTGCAGAACCTCTGTGCGGGGGGAGTGGTCGTGCACAGAGACAGATTTGACGGTAGCAGAGGCTATGCGTCAGAAGTATAAATTGGCCTTTAGTCTTCAAAATATGAGTCGTGGCATAATCCTATTTCACCAGACAGTCACAAGTTAACACCAACTAGATGAGGCGTCTGGGGAGAAAGTTTGAGAAACATCTCATGCCACGTGGTCTTGGTACTCTCATATGAATTTCTAAATGTCATCACAGCCATGGTGTCAGACGGGTGGTAATTTGCTGTGTTATTACCAGAGTGATAGCTGATGGCTTTTTTATGTTTGTTAATTATCTGCCTGTCATTAATTAGAACTACATCAGATGGCTTCATTCAGTAAATAAATGCTAATGCGTTCCTGACCTTCTGACTGTATTCCCCAATCAGTGCATCTGTGCCAAAAATAATAAAAACATTAAGAACGGACAGAAATGACTGAGATTGTGTATTCTTGGTGTAGCATGCACACATGCGTTTCCTTTTGACTCATAAAATCACTTTGACTTCAGGGTAGAAAGAGCCCGCTCTACAAAGACATACGCACATCTGTGTTCTGTTTCCTTGCCTCATTTTTTTTCTTCTTTTTGCCTCTCATCCTGTTTCTTAACCAAAACTAATCCCGACTAAATTTCAGGATCTGCGTCTCCTTGTCTTTTAACTCCCATCCTCTCCTCCACCCACCCCCTCCTCATCTCCAACCTCCTTGCTTTCTTTCTTTCTTCACTCTCCTGTCATTCTTGAAGTGGCACTAATCCCCCCCCCCCTTCTCTCTGTCTCTTCAACTCTCTTCCCCTTCCCTCTTTTTTATGATCTTTCACTACTGGAGCAAAACTAATCTAGGCCCCATCCATAGAAGTACCTCAGACATCCTCCTCCCTGCCCTCAGACGCTGCCTCGCCACTTTCCTCGTTACACCTTCCCTTTGTTGAACCCCTGTATCCGCCATACAGCTTTTCACCAACTCCCTTTACCCCGCTTCTCTCCATCTCTGTCGCACACCGGCTGTGCGGTGAGTCGCGTTGGGATGAGCATAGACGAGGCCGGAGAGAGAAATGTGAAAAAGATGAATGAGAGAGGGGATGAAGGAGAGTTGGAGGCACTGTATTGCAGTCTGTCCACTTGCTGTTGTTGTGTTGTTCCCCTGTGGTAAAAACCCTCGCTTACTCCCTGCTTCCTTCCTGATCTGGATCCCTTTTATCTGACAGGTAGCATGGCAGCAGGGCATGCCATTAGATGCTTGTGTGGCCGTTGGTAATGGCAGCTCCTGTCCTTTAGCTATGTCTCTTATCTAAACTTCAAACCACGCTCCTCCCATCCCTGCACTCTTTTTGTTTTTTTTCCCCCCGCCTTCTTCAAAAACCAGCTTGTATGCATTTTCACACGGGGATAGCCCTGTTGTGAGGGATTTAAATTATTTTAGCAATTAGTGTGAAGGTGACAATGAGAAGGTCTGTCAGGTATGTCATTGCTCCAAGGTCAACGAGCTCTAAACAGTCCCCTGATGTTTTCTCTGGTGTTTCATTTAATTACTCTGTGACTTAAATGTTGGACCAGTTTTTTTTTTTCCAAAATATTGTACAGCTAACCATTTTAATATTATATGTTAGTTTTTTTGGAGCAGAATATTCTCATGAATCGCATCTAGAAAGCATAGAACTGTCTTAAGTCCTCATTGCATCATGTAAACATAGCCTTGAATTGCTGTCCTGAAATTTCGGATACCCTGCAGCCTTCTATTGCATCTTCCTCAACCTCGCTTCACCTCCTACTCCATACTTACCTTTTTACACTGCATCTTCTCCTTAAAACCCCCTCCCAGTGTGTTTATCTCTCTCGCTCCTCCGGTTGCTCTGGCTCACTGCTGCTTCCTCTTTCCTTGCCTTCCCACTGTGAGAAACCATTACAGACCAACTTCCATCTCTCCCTAATTGATTCCCCTTCCCACTTCGTCTCACTTCCCCTTTTTTCTCAGCCATTGTCCCGCTGTGTGCAGTCCATTACATTTATTTCAGTTTGCAGAGCGTCACCATTTTCTTCGCTTTCTGTATTCTTCTTTTGGTTCCCTTAAATTTCTCGAATCCCTATCCTCCTTCTTAATGCCCTCTGCTCCCTCCCAAATCATTCTCTGTATGCCTGAAAACCACACCAGAAAAATTCGGACTGAACCTTTTAGAACTAAATTCCAACTTTTGATAGTTTTCAGCGATTTTCAGCGCTTTTATTTTTTACAACTTTTGTTTGAAAAATAACATTAAACTGAGTTTGCGTTACTTAGCATTGGTGCCTATGTATGTAAAATGGCGGCACGAGAGGAGAGGTGGAATGGTGGAACATTGTCTGTCTTCAGTGGTGCATTCTGCATACACCCACATACGCGCCACCTCACACACACACACACATACATATGCAGACGCACATGCGCACTTTGCCATGGATGTGCATGTGCGGTTACACATGCCTCAGACTGCACTGCAGACTTTTCTGCTGTCACGCCCCTGCGGACTCCATTTTGTGGGGATTTCGCCATGACTAAGATGATGATGTTAACACAAAAACGAGTCCCGTCAATCTTCAGATTTATGCGCAAATGATGTGATTAGAGCCGGATCAAAACGCGCAAATCACCCACAGCTGAGTAAACACAAGGCATCTGAAAATGGTTAACTCTACTTTCAACTCGGCAGCGAATTTGACACTTGTTAAATAATACAGCAATTTATTATAAAAGTTATAAGTTCTAAATAATTTTTCTTGATTTAAAAACAAAAAGAAATTTTTTTTAAAACTTTCAATTTTATTTGTATAAAAGCTTTATCTTGTTATTTTTGATGGATGATTTTATTCTTTATTTTTACATTTAGGATTTTAAATTTTACATTTCTTATCAAAACTCCGGTGAAATTTATTTTGTTCATTTTCTACAAATTTTATTGATAATTTATAATTTAAAAAAAAAACATTTTGAAGTAATGAAAAAAATAGACAGTTGAAAAATTTTTTTTTATTTATTTTGATATTTTTATTTTTTGTAGTAAAATTCAGTCTAAATGAATTCCTTCCCTACGATTTATGATTAATAAATATGCAGTTTTTGTTACAGATTATTTTAAATTAAGCCTTTCTTTAGATAATTTTTTTAATGAGTGCAGAATATGTTTTAAGTTTCATAATTACTCGATCTAAAAAATGTTTTTATATTTTTTTTTCAGTAAAAATATTTTGTAGAAAAAGGTGTACCATTTTTTTTAAATAAATGTTTGACTATTTTTAGTTGTAATTCGTTTTGCCGTACTTAATAAGTTGAACGGATACATTTTGACTTAACTAAATAGTTAAAATTTGTTTTTTGTTTTTTTATCTTAATGGTCAGTATTTTGGGTTCAGTTTAAAGGTTTTTCCGTCCTTCTTTTCCTTATATGTCTCACTTATATCCATTTACAAATTATACAATTTAAATGCATCATCAGCTAAAAATGTTTTTTATATTTTCTAACCTATTTAATGTTGTTAATACAATTTAGATGCAAATTAATATTTTTATTCATGTTATTTTTTCTGTTTCTCATTTGCATTGATAAATTGTTTAATGTTGATCAAATTTAGGAAAAGAAAATATCAACCAAACGTCGGAGAGGCGTGTATTTTTTTTTTTTTTATTTGTGTTTTTTCATAATTGTGTATATATGGACTTTTTTTTTTTCAGTTTTTCTGATAGAATATGCTTAACCTTGCGAACACTGTCACGCATGAATGCACACGTGCAGAAACTCAGTACAAAGCTGTAACATAGCATGCTATTTAATGCTTCGTTAACCCCTTGATGGCTGTTAGTTGTAGTCAACCTGAGAGTAATTTGGGTTTTGTGTCGGGTGAAGCCACGCGTTGTTCAGCTGTGCAGAGGAAGGGTTATTGGGTTGTGGATCACTGGTTGGTTCTCCAAGGTCCTTGATACGCACCTTGCTTTCCAGGCTATGGTTTGTATGTGTGTGTTCATGCATGGTTGTGTGTTTGGGTTTGACTTATGGGATGTCAGATGTTGGTTCAAGGCCTGACATAGATTTAATTACCAGTTTTGTCGTTTTAGTCTTGTCCTCTGATCCCATTGTGATTGCTCTTTGGAAGATTAGGCACTTTTCTGCTTCCAAAGATTTTACAGATTTGTAAAATCTTTGTTTTGTTTTTTGTTTTTTTTTTTGTTTTTTTTCCCATGCTACCTGTATTTTTTTTTCATTCTCATTTTTAGCAGCTCCTTTTTCCTCCATTATAGCACTCCTTCACTTCTCCCTCCATTATTTCCTTTCAACTCCCCCGACCCACCTGCTGAGAAAGTGACGCCCAGACACAAATGCCCCCTTATCCCGTCTTATTCTTTCCGTCCCTTTTTTTCCTGTCTGACCTTGTTTCGCTCTTTCCAATTTTTTTTTTCCTTCACCTTACTTTCTCACTCCAGTCTTCACTGCATTGCCTTTTATCTTCTGTCCACTCCTTGGTTTCGCCTGTCATTAAGAATTTACTAGCATTTTTTTCCATCCTTTTCTATTTCCTGTATCCCTCTCTGTATAATCTCCATCATTCTTACTCATTCTAATTTACATAACACTATCTTTTTCCTGTTGCCATGCTTTCAAAGCTCTTTTTTCCATCTGACCTTTAAGAAAATTTGCATGGGGGACATATTTAGGGTTGCACAGCCAGTCTGTACCCATTTTTCATGACATTGGTCTTTGAGTAATGGTGTATACCTGCCTCTGGTCATTTGTCTGTTTCTTGTTCTTTTTGTTTCACCAAGCAGCACTTTTATTGAGAAGGTTACACATGCAGAAAAAGACTAATCAGCATCTTGTTTCCATACTGCAACTTTTATCTAAATGCTATCTATCTTCTGTTTTGCTTATTGCAGCATCAGAGGGTTCAAAACAAATACAAGGTGAGATGCAATGTCTTTTCATACAATTTCTAAACATATTTGAATGCCTTTATTCTTCTGCCCTGGGGTCAAACCTGGTTTAGTTTAAAATCTGCATGCTAAATTTGTGCACCAATTTTGTATTTGCTGCATGCCCCTTTTAAATTATATTATAGTCTTTTAGATGTACCCATATACTTAATTGAACCCCCTTCTTTAATAATATATTTTATATTTGATTTTGATACCGCTCAACTTAGACAAATACATAATTACCAAGAAGAAGGAAAAATAGATTTCTCTCTAAATAGGTGCAACCAGGTGTCTTTAAAAGTTGAATATGGTTTATTTGTTAACCCCCAAAGATTAGGCTGTCCACTTAAACAAGGTAATGAGAGCAACAATCACATAAGCAATCAAGAGGCCGAAAGTAATTCTGGATGAGCTGCAGAGATCCAGAGCTCAGGTTGGAGAATCTTTCCATAGATGTGGCTTTTATAAAAGAGCAGTAAGAAAGAAGCCATCATTTGGAGCAGCGATCTACTCTGGGCGGGTTGGGCATGGCAAGGAGTTCCTTGCTGTGTACCTTTATCAATAGTTGGGGCTCCCAGCCTGAGAAATGTTGAAGAACCCTGATTTAGATGAAGACCAGAAGATGGTCTAGTTGAATTAAACTCAAACTGTTTTGCCATGTCTCTAGTGATAGATATGAAGGATAGGTAGATGGATATTGCTTATTACAGGCTATTTCCTAAGAGAAAACCAGTAGGAGGCTGCAAAATATTTAAGACTGGGGTGGAGGTTCATTTTGCAGACTGACATCAACCATAAACCTACAGCCAGAACTATGTTTAAATGGTTTGATCAAAGTATGTTCATGTGTTAGAATGGCCTAATCAAAGTCCAGACCTAAATCTCTCTGAGAAATAATGGAGTGAGACTAAAAAAATGATGTTCACAGATGCTCTCAAAGTACAAATAAATGCCACACTCTCCTGATGTTTTTTTGGTAAAATAAGGAAAATATATATGTTTTTTTCTTAATTTGCACTTGGAAGAAGGAATGATGCACTACTGTGCGTTGAAAAGTTCCAGTAAATTTCAAGAAAGTTTGTGATTTTTTTTTTTTACATGACTAAGCGATATTTAGTTAAAGGGGGTCAGAATAATTTTGCAAAACACTATTTGTCTTCTTCCTGTTCAGCCCCAATCTGATGCCTTTCTCTGAGTTCATACACTGGAGCTCTGACACATTGATGTGTTTCGATTTACAAAAGAAACTAATCTTTAGCTGTTTTTGGTTCCATTTGTTATTAACTTAAACATTCATGCAAAATGTCATCCTTTGTTCCAGAAACGAAACCTCTCAGCAACGTTGTCTCAGTAAGGACCACTTCTCTTCCCCTCCTCATCTCCATCATCATGCCGCTGATCACTTGACTCCTCCATCCTCTTGGCTGTTCTTCGCGCCGATGGACCAATCCCTCAGACATTTAAAGAAAGAACAAAAACTAAGCTAACAGACAACAAACGACAAAATGCAAACTCTACCAGAGTAAGCTAATTCCATCAATCACCATGTGGTTGCAGATCCAGTCAGGAGCATGTTTTCTCCTGTACAGGGGACCACTGTGACTCAGGGAAATGACGCAGAAGTGCAGCAAAGCATTTCTTCCTGTTTTCTTGCCCTACCAATTGCCTGTTCTGCAGCTAGTTGAACAGAATATTTCCCATTAACTTTTCTTAAGTCTGCATTCCAGTTTGAGAGGAAGAACCATGCGAATCATTAGGACCTTCACTGAAGTGTTTATATATATATATATATATATATATATATATATATATATACATACATACGCATATTTTGTCTTATTTTTCTACCTATTTTGATCACTTGCATTTGAGTGCAGCCTCTAGTTTGAAAAGTGGCCAAATAAACATACTACTGTAATGAGAGGCTGAGGTTGGAAGCTTTCCATTCCTTCTGTGATTTTCTATGAAGACTCGTACTTTAAGCCTATTACCTTCACAGCAACATAAATCAGCTCTACTGAAATCTCAAACAAAATGCATTTTGAAGGGGCAATAGGCAACATTTGGAGAAGAGCGAGACTGGGCTCCTGCGCCCCCTGCTGGGATCAAACTGGGTTTTACTGGTTGAACTGGGTTGGACATAGAAAAAGAAACTAGATGCCAAGCTTGAGGTTCTGTTTGGTGTTAACTTGAGCCTGGAACTGGTCCTCTTATTCTTACCAGCCAAATAAGTTCCTCTGTGTTTCCAGCATTCTTCCTGCTTCGTAACCAACTGAGGAAAACTGATTTATGGGTGAACGGATTGCCTTCAGAACAATAAACGGTGTGCACATAAGCTTTCTAATTTTTCTGTCTTTACATGGTATTTGGTCTGATGCGTGGGCTGTGGGCAAACAGTTAAACCTAATTACAAATATATTAGGCCTATATAAAACAGTTGTTTACCTTAGTAACAATCAGTCTGTATAAATTAATTGCCAAAATAACACAACCTTGGCTTGTGTATCAGCTAGAAAGAATTTATTTTCATACTTATGTATTTCTGTATTATTTTATTGGTTGTGATAAACTGGAGCCTGTCAAAAAAAGTGATTGGAATATTTTTTTTATCACCGTTATTATTCACCGTTGAACAACTTGCAAGATTAATTTTAGGGTTTCTATCTGATATTACATTGAATTTATTGATGAAACCTAGTAACTAATAACATAATTTCTGAATTTTCTTGTTTTAAAAACATGCTTGTTAGCACTTATTTTTCTACTTTCCTATGGTGAAAATCTTTTTTTTAATCCTTTTTATTGTAATATATTTTTTTTATATTTGCTTTGTTCAAAAATCACATTTGGATGGCAAAATTTGTGTCTTTAATTTGTTTTTTTTTTCCATCAGGCTTATCTCCCTAAAACAGATAATTTCTAAAGATTTGTTTTTGTATCCTGTACAGTTTGAGTTTTTCAGTCCTGTAACGGTAAGATTTCTGGGTTTTTCTTTTTTTATTTGTTTTTGCTTTCACATTTTAGTGAAGGATGTAGCATCTTCTGTGAAGAGCCAACTGCAATCTGAGCCCTTTTCTGTGGCAGGATGACAAATAAATATGGTTGCATTCAAAAATCTCAGTCTGTTATTTATTTTTATTTTTTTCTTTATCTAAAACGCATTGATTATGGCATGCAGCTGCAGGTGTCTGTGACAGTTTGTAGGCAAACACACATGAGTTTATTTGTGGAACATGCACATTAAATGTTATACACAGCAGCATGGAGATAAGGGGACTACAGGGACTTAAAATGACCTTGTGGTGTGGGAGGCCATTGTAATGTGAGTAACCCAGTGGAATATTGAGCTGCATTTTTATCTATGGGCGGCTAAAGACCGATAAGACCCGGATACCCAGTGGACTCCTGCTTTTAATAGACTCTTGAACATCATTCCCAATAAGGCGACCTTAAAGTTATTTTTCTATCAATGTGGGACAGAAGTTTAATAATAACCCTCAAAAAGACAATCTTGGTGTATTAAATATAGAAGTGTACATCCAAATAAGCTGTAAATGTGTTTCCATTTATATAGGCTGTAATGTAGAACGTCTTGTGAAGCCACAGAGGCAATTTCCTGGATAATAGGGCTAATGCTCCTATTTCATGGTTTATGATCTCTTCTGATGACATGTTTGTCACTGTTGTTACATGCCGTCTCAGAGCTGCTTTGGTTCTGACCTTCGCATATAAATTTCTAAAGGCCATGTTTTTATTCTTCTGCTATAAACATGCAGGGATGGATGGGTTCTTTTAAAACTGCTGTATAAAAATGTGGACTTTAAAAGCAGCAGGAATCCACCTTCCTTTATGTTCCTGTTCAACTTTGAGGCTTTTTAACATTTTTTTTTTTTTTTTTTTGGAGCCAAAGTGTGCAGATCTTTTTATGTCTGTTGTTTGATGCAGGATTTGTTTTTATCCTTCTCTGCAGACAGGAAATACTGACTTGGTTTTATCACATGTTGTGTACTTGCAATATTTCTTTGTAAAGTTTAATGTGTGTAAATGTAACAGAGCTGGAACCGAAGTCAAACCCACAACATAAACTTTATAACTACACACACTGCCAACGTAGATAAACTTAGAAAATCATACATTCCAGCAAAGTTTCCTCCAAGGTTTTCTGGGATTACAATAATGAATAAAATAAGATTTAAAAATTGTGTCTATAGTTTAAATCTCCACAAACCATATTGTAATTACTCCTGTTGGAGACAAAACAGCAGACGACTGCCTAAAAACAGAAGCTTCTTGGTTTAATTTGCAAATGATCTTTGCCTTTACACTTCATTTCAGCAAATATTTTTCCAAGTGTATGTGAAAGCTTATTACTTGAAATAAAAAGTTTATTTAATCAAGTAGTAGTTTTACTATTCTATATTTATTATTCTATGTTTATTAGGATGGTGGCATTTCTACCAACTTAAAACAGCTTAAATGTCAATCTCCCAGCGTTATCTGCAACTACCATTTCAATCTGAAAAACTCACACAGAGAGAAAAGATAATTAGGAGAATTTTATTGATAAGAAGTATAGTCTTTGGCGCTCAGGCCTCGGCAGGAACATTCATGCTGAATTATGCTATAACATGCATAAGTAGATGAATGAGAACAGGGATGTTCCCCCCGGCCTGAAACTGGTGGTGGTNAGAAAAGATAATTAGGAGAATTTTATTGATAAGAAGTATAGTCTTTGGCACTCAGGCCTCGGCAGGAACATTCATGCTGAATTATGCTATAACATTCATAAGTAGATGAATGAGAACAGGGATGTTCCCCCTGGCCTGAAACTGGTGGTGGTTTAGTTCGAGCTGGTTATCGAGGTGATCTGCTCGAGCTGTATTGTTGGACCAGAGACTGAGGGAGCTGACACCAGGGCTTCACTCAGACTCAGGATGTAGAGGTCCTGCTTGGTGATGCAGGTACCATGAACTGTCCATGATGAGCAAGCATGAAGCGACAGTGGAGAGGAAAAATTCCCCTTTGGGAAGAAACCTCTGGCAGAACCGGGGTCAACATGGTGGTCTTCTGCCGGACCAATTGCAATGAGACGAGGGATGGTGACGACTGGGATTAATACTCTCTGATGAGGTTGGGGTAGAAGTCATGTCATGGAAGACGACTCAGCTACGATGGCGGAGGAGGGGATGGAGGTGGGTGAATTGTCGTCTGAATAAAATCTGACATTGCGTTTGCTGGATAGCGGGCTTTGAAGGTGCTTTTAAAGTGAAAGCAGGATGCTGATTGGGCTTCGTGGTGGAGTAGTTCGAAGCTGATTGGCTCGCGTCAGAGACGGATCAGCTTCTGATTGGATGGAGGTAAGTCAGAGTTTCTTCAATTGAACTTCCGCTAGAGCTTCATTTTATAAACTGAATTTTATTATCTACAGAGTTTGGTAGTTCTTCACTTGTTTGCCCTGCAGCAGCTTTGTGAGAGTTTAATGTTCAGCTGAAAAGAAAGTTCTTAAAACAGAACTAAGGGGGGCAACAGGGGCCAGTACCCCTGCAGAACTTGTCCTGGCCCCTGTACTATAACTGAGTGGTCGCTTGGAGCGCTTTCATTGCTTAGCTTTACACTTTGAGATTTTTACTTATAAAAATGTACATGCTGCACCATTAACTTCCTCTTTATTGGAATATAAGATTTTTTTTATCTGCTAGGGTCTGAAAACTGCCACCCTGATAAATTTGGTCTAGAACTGCATCTGAGCAGAGTTATAATCAGATGGATACACTGTAGAGGTTCTTTTCTGACATTTTAGATATTTGCACCCTGCAAAAGAAACTTTCTCTGGCAGTTTAAACTCAAAGGTATTGTGCGAATTTTTTAAATGATCTGCCCTCTCCATTTGGATAAAATAATGCACATGCACAATCCTGCACCCGCTCCCGACAGGGAACACCTACTAAACACGTATGAGAGCATGCACAAGGCCATTTCTCCTCGTGCTAACTCTGTTTAAAAGTTGCTGTTTGCATTGCTCGTAGTTTACTTTCCAGAAGAAGATTTGCAATTTTTTCACTATGTCAGACTTAACATAAAGACGAGCACGTAGGATGGCCTTACGTTAACATATCACCAGAATTATTGACAATCAGGAGGACCATTTATTTTGATGATAAAAAGAACATCCTCCACTATACCTTTAATATGATTGTTCCATTTCACAAAGCATCTTTCGCTTAGAATAGTAGGATGGACCAATCATGTAAATTATCAAATAGGTCTATCGAATAACCATAAACTGAATGTAGATAGCCGTCTACAGTGAAAGTGGAGAGGTAAAGGTTTATTGTATAAACTTCTTTTAAGATGATATAAAGTCTTTTTTTTAGGTTGGAGATGTGCCTTTTGAAAAAAAAATTATATCTTAGCTTAAGCTTCCAGTTTTCTGTTTGCTTTTCTTTTTAAACTCAGGATAGAGACTTATCATTCAGATATTATTAATTTATTTTTCACAAAAAAGAAAAACAATCCTTGTCTCTTTACAGCTATGGAGGAATTGTTGATGTAAGATCTTATATTAGGGTAATTTATCTGATTTATGTCAAATAAAAATATCATAAATTCATCACAATGAAGCTATAATATGTTACTTTTCATCTGTTTTTCTTTTTTTCACAACCACAGAAGCCATTTTAAAGGTTTCAGCAATATGTGGTCAGAAAAATTACTTATGGGTGGAACCAGTTAGAGAGGATGTTAAAACTTAAGCCCCACCAGTCTCTCCAGTTC